ATTCCCAGCAAACCTAACAAATATGGAATAAAAATATTTGCCTTATCCGATGCAAAATTATTCTATATCAGCAATATGGAAGTATACGTCGGAAAAAATCAAGCAGAAGGCCCCTATTATCAAGATACTAGTACCAAAGCTGTGACTGAACGAGCCTGCCAACATCTTTACGGTTTCAATAGAAATGTAACCACTGACAATTGGTTTACTAGCACTGCGCTTGGCTTGACTTTGAAACAGAATGATTTGACCCTTCTGGGAACGATAAAGGCAGAAGAAAAGAAATACCAATTTCTTTCTCACAAAATTCAGGACGGCCTATTGGTTCTAGTACGTTTGGGTTTGGTTGCGGAGGAACTTTGGTATCATATATTCCTAAAAAAAAAAACAAAAATATTTTACTGTATTCGACTATGCACTATGAAGACAATGTTGATGCAGAAACTGGATAATCGGAAATGTTGTCGATGTTGATCAGTTATGTGCACAGTATAATGTGGCACGTTGTAGTAGAAGATGGCCAATGGTTATTTTTTATAGTATACTGAATGTAACAGGAATCAATTCTTTCGTAATATATAACAGTAATCTGACAAACTCTACAAAAACAAGAAGACAATTTCTGACAGAGTTGTCTTTCAGTCTTATGTATAACCATCAGAAATGCCGAAGTATGAATGCGAATATTCCAAGGACAATAAGGATGCGCTTGAAAGAGATATGCCATTTGGACGATGATTCAGTACCCGTTCAAAGAAATCCAGGAGAAATTGGGAGATGTAGCTATTGTAGTTGGAAAAAAAATCGTAAAACAAAATATTTCTGTGCGTTATGTAAAAAATATTTATGTTCAGAGCATGTCATCCCGATATGTGAGGATTGCCACAAATAACATATACCTAAATTTAACATGTAATTTTACACCCTTTCTCTAGCTTTACATGTATAATGCAGTTGAATGATTTTCTATTGGTGTCGATTTCAGTATATTTCAGAATAACATGTTCGTTTTTTTTCTGAAAATTATGTCGTAGGAATAAAATAAATAGTGATCAAAAATTCGTTTATTTTTCTACTTTTGCAGGAAATCAATATCTAAATGAACTGTTGAATAGTAACAAAAAATGTTGTGGAAAAAATGATGATAAAACAATATTAATTGCAAAATTCGAAAAAATTATTCAATAAATATACAGCGTAACTCACGGTCGATGGTAGGTTAGACGTTTCTGGAAAACGCAAAGCATGATTTTTCTGGAAATTTCACCTCTAACATTTCCATACCTGTTCTATCAATCAATAACACATTGCTGCGTTGCCACTTCTATCAAAAAGTCCTAGCAATTATATTTTTTTAAACGGAAAACCACGTATATTATTACATTTTTGGAACCGCTCTAGTATTTTAATACTTTTTTGTTAATAATGTCCTATACCTATCTCTATCTGTTTTCGAGATAAAAAATAAATTGTGCTAAATATGGTCCAAAACATAGCCTTAATTGAAATTAAGTACATCAGTACTCTCAATTCATGAAAAGTTGATATTTTGATGACAGTTTGGACAAACTCGAAATATTCAAATAACACCAAGAAATCGACTCCATATCATACAGGGCGTGCTAAAATTACTATCATTTCCATTGTGCATAAAAGTAGTCAAAAGTTCATTTTTTCAAATGAAACCCCCTGTATATTACTCGATAAATTGAAAGATGGTGGAAAATGCTTCAAGATGATAAACATGTCCCTATACACCTAAATTGTCAAGTTTTCTTAATGAAGCCGATTTTGTGGAAAAATAGTTATTCACGTGTTGAAAGTGGCATTTTATTTTGTGAGTGGGGATTATTGCAAAACGAGCGTCAGCAAGTGGAGCAAACTCACGAGCAAAATAAAATCACTTTCAACAAATGTATCATACACATTTTTTTGTATAACGTTACTGCTGATAATAAAAAAAATTATAGGGTCTATGGAATTTGAACACACGATTTTTGGATTACAAGGCATATGTTACAACTACATACGCCAACTCACGTTATTTTAAGGAGGATTATTGGTTAGTCATGAAGGACTCTCTATAGTTGGACTGAATACTACTTCGTTATACCAATAGCACGAACTGCATGTGTGAACTTTTCTAAATGATTTTTTGGTAGGTGTTCTGATTGAAGTGTTTCTATCAAAGAGATTTTCAATAACAGTTGTACAAAAAATAATTTTTAAAGAATTTAATTTCTAGGTAGCCGTGGAAATATCAAGCTTATGACAGTTTGGTGACTTTTATAAGTAATTGATAAATGGTTATTGACGGAGTTTCAAAAAATCGCCAAAAATGAATGCAAATATTGATTATTCAAACGAAGTTCTTATGAAATTATTTATTATACACGGACATTGCCAGAACTTGTAGAAAAATTCAACCAAATGTATCCTGAATTAACACCAATGAACGAGAGGAAGTTTGTAAGATTACAAAATAATTTCCTTAACTATGGCTCCATGTTAAAAGCGCCTTCAACATTACCAAAACCTGTTACTTCAAATGAGGACAATACTGTTAACGTTTTGGCATATTTTTATGCATATCCAGAAGCTCCCATTCGCAGTGCAGAAAAAGATTTAGGTGTATCACATGTTTCAGTATAACGAATTTTGAAAAATTACGGAATGCATCCGTATAAATTTACCAAAGTTCAAGCTCTAAAAGCAGAAGACTTCGAACGTAGAATGCATTTTTGTGAATCCCTTTTGATTCATACACAGGAAGATCGGGAATTTTTTTCAAAAAAAAATTTGGAGCGACGAATCAAAATTTACGAGTGATGGTATTTTCAATAGAAGGAATTAACATTTTTGGGCTGATCATAATCCTCATATTACAGAAAAAATGGGTTTTCAAAAAAAATTTGACCTGAATGTTTTCTGTATTCTGATGAACAATAAAATTAGCTTTTTTATTTATGAAGACACACTGAATGCAGAGAGTTATCTCCAAATATTAAGGACGACTGTACCCGATTTTCTTGAAAATTTGCCTTTAGAGGAATATAGGAATTCGTGGTTTCCACTGGATGGAGCGCCAGCTCATTCCACCCAGAAAGTTTCCAGGAACTCTTCGACGATCGTTGGTTTAGGCGTTTAGGGCCGTGGGATTGGCCACCGAGATCACCCGATCTCACGCCACTTGACTTTTTTTATGGGGTGTTTTAGAAGAAAGGGTATACAGTACTCCAGTGCCTACCAAAGAAGAATTGCGACGGCGAATAATGCGGAGTATTGAAAATCTTGATCCCCAGGAAATTGAAAAAGCAACCACAAGTTGCGTACAAAAAAACATTTCAAAGTATTTAGAATGTAATGGACAACATTTTCAGCATTTATTGTGAAAATGTGATATTTTGTTTACAATTTTGTTATTTTGAATCATCCTATTATGTTATTGTCTGTACTTTCACATGTTTTAGCCCACAAAATCTTACTTTTTACCTAGAAATGACTGATTTTTGGTACAGTTGTTCCCTGGAAACTTTGAGCCATAGTTAAGGAAATTATTTTGTAACCTTACAAACTTCCTCTCGTTCATTGGTGTTAATTCAGGATACATTTGGTTGAATGTTTTACACGTTCTGACAATGATTTGATCACTTTGTTCATGTGTATAATAAATAATTTCATAAAAACTTTGTTTGAATAATTGATATTTGCATTCATTTTAGAAGATGATTCGAAACACCGTCAATAACTCTTTGTAAATTACTTATAAAAGTAACCAAACTGCTATAAGCTTGAGAATTCCACTGCTCCCTGAATCCAAATTCTAAAAAAAAATAATGTTTCTAGAAGAAGCGACTTTATTGAGAAAACTTGACGATTTAGGTATAGGGACATACCTGAAGCATTTTTCACCATCTTTCAATTTATCGAGTAATATACAGGGGGTTTCATTTGAAAAAATGAACTTTTGACTACTTTTATGCACAATGTAAATAATAGTAATTTCAGCACGCCCTGTATGATATGGAGTCGATTTCTTGATGTTATTTGAATATTTCAAGTTTGTCCAAACTATCATCAGAATATAAATTCTTCATGAATTGAGAGTACTGATGTACTTAATTTCAATTAAGGCTATGTTTTGGGCCATATTTAGCACAATTTATTTTTTATCTCGAAAACAGATAGAGATAGGTATAGGACATTATTAACAAAAAAGTATTAAAATACCAAAGCGATTCCAAAAATGTATTAATATACGGGGTGTTCCATAAAAAAAATGAAGTTGCTAGAACTTTTTGATGGAAGTGGCAACGCCGCAATGCTGAAAATATGTGAGAGGTGAAATTTTCAGAAAAATCATGCTTTGCGTTTTCCAGAAATGTCTAACCTACCATCGACCGTGAGTCACGCTGTATATCATCCAACTGGTCTTAAGAACCGTGTGCGACTATTGCTGTGTAAAATGTTACTGCGTCTGCCGAAGGGTTAATGTGTTTGTCTTCAGGAAATTATCAAATGTTCCGCCATTTTGTAGTAGGTGAAGATATTGACTTCATATTCTAGGGTTGTGAAGTATTCGTCAGGAGCTTCAAAATGATGTGTCACAAGACCCCTTTTCCATTTAATGTTTACAGATTGTTCCCAGTCGCCATCTTGAGAGTTTCATGTGTCAATTTCTCTTCAAAATAATGTATTTATGCATACATTTTATCATCCCAAATTTCAATTTTTTGAGTTCTCCCGTTCGATAAATAAAGGGGGGGACATTAACGAAATGTACTGTATAGTCAGTGGGCAATAGCATACGCTCTTCGTGGTATTAGCCAGGAAAGTAGTTATTTTCTGATTGTTGTCAGTCCATTAACCTTCACTGTAGGGAGTTGGGACTGGCATAAACAAATTGTTTTTTCAGATGATTTGATTTATAGCCAGTCTTCAAGTATGCCCAATGACTATATGAGAGAAAAAATAATTCATCAAATCAATAAAACTCCTGGTAATAGAACTACTATTTTAATTAGTCATTTGAGAAAAGAAGTACATTCAAGCATAATAAATTGCTTTTTCTAATTCCAAACGATGTAGCAGATTCACATTATTATACTATTATCGTTCTATACATGACAGATTCTTGAAACTTTCAGCAACAGATTGTTGAGGTACTTTCACCTCAAACAAAAACCAATCTTCAATATCACAATAAAAATTGCAAGTAACAACGTGCAGCGACAATGAATTGCCACGATTTCAGCATGGAATATTCATTCCATCAATTCATTTAGATTTTACAAATAGAAAGTGCTGAAAATTGTTCAACAAAATCAGCAAAAATTGTAGAAACATAGTGTATTCATTCACACATTGTTTCAACCAGTTGAGAAATATATTTTTCAGAACATTCATTGAGGAAATATTTTTTGTATGTCATAAAAATATTTCAGGAAAGACTGAAGGTTATCTCTGAAACTATATATTTTCAACGTTATGTACAAAGTTGTGAGAGATACATGATTAGGTTTACATTTTTACATCTCTCGTTCGCAGATTCTGCTTCAAATTTCAAAAGTTTTCAGTGATTTTAGCAATCACTATTACTAGATATTCTATTTCATATCCAATAGTGATAAATTTACTGTGCGCTTTTGAATACATTTCTTTTAAAGTATTGCCTTTGCCCTAAATATCCACAGTTTGACAGTCCGTGGATCATTGGAAACTGTTTGGTAAAATATCTAAAAACCATAAATATATCTAAAAGTTGTATTTTACACAACTTTCTCGTTTATATTTAAGTATCTAACATATAAGTCATGCAGGTACCTACTAAGTGAATAGGTTATGTTGAACAATTCATAGCAAGTGCTTCAACATAAACATTCTAAAGAGGTCTTTTCAAACCTACGTAAGAGCCAACACATTTAGAATGAGCAAAAATACTGTTGAATTATTGTTTCTATAACCTACGTCGAATACTATGTACATAAATAATAAGTTGACCTGTCACAATACGAACGACAAACGAAATTTTTCAATGTCCAATTGATAACAGTAATATAATTTCCTTTACTGTAATGTGTCAAGTACCTGAATCAAAAAATTACTCTTCTTTGATGAGATATTGGTTGATTTGACACCATTGAAGCTTCTCTCTTGTCTAATCAGTTGCAAGTCAAACTTAAGCGACCTATTCAAAAAAGTGACTGGTAATATAAATGAAATCAGTGATATTTGTATCAATGTTTGATTATACCAAAAAATTGTTTGAGAATTTGAACATTAGTAGCAATACGGACTTTGTATTACTTATTTGAGAGCTTATTTGGGTTCAAAATTCATAACTGATTTTTTATCGAAAACATTTCAACCTGATTGATGAGAATATTCGTAATGTATGTATTATTTTCAAACTGATTGCTGAGATGATTGCTAAGATGACATGTTTTATGTGAACTAAACTATCTAGACCGTTGCCATTGTGTAGAATGGTGAAGTATTTGGTGGCAGTTGTTGAAGCCCTCTCTCGTTACTACGATGGATGTTTAAGACTTAATCTATCATCAATTCAAAATGAACAGACCCTCTTCTGTCAACACGATCATGAATGATATTTTTCGCCCACGCCTTGCATTCGATGTTGATCAAAATTCCTCCTAGAAAAAAAAAGAAGTCATCAACTGTTGTGCATCAGTTAAGATAAATTTCCACCAAATAATCAAATTCATTCCATATTTGATAGTTCGGTCAAATTAGACTGAAAAATAAGAGTGAAGGTACATACATTTACAAAAAGCTGCAAATGCGTGTAATTGTTCAAAACATAGTTAAAAATGAGATTTTGAAATTCCGAATGATTGCGATGCCTGAAAAAAATTTATTCAAGGTGAAAGGCTGTGATACGGTTTAGTGTTGGGAAAAACTCCAGTAATATTCAGTACTACACCAAAGATTCCAAACAGTGCATCACAATTCAGTAGCATTAATCACCAGAATTTGAATTGCTCATTATAATAATGATAGCTGATAAATTTGGTATAGTTTTCGACACTGAACGAGGTGACCACAACTCTGTCACCGAGTTGAAACCTGTTCAGCAAAATGCTCAGATAAAAGCTGCAGAGATCACCTTACTTCTGCGGAAACACAAGAATGGGGTCTTCTTCAATAACAATGGAGACCTTGGCTTATCAAAGCGCCTGACGTTCGCTTTTCTCAGGTCGAGTGGCCTGAAGTCAGAAACTGAGGGGTTCATCATGGCTTGCCGGATTGGTGTCTTTAACAACTCAGTCTACCGCAGTCGCGTGATAGGTATAGAGGTTTCTGACACAAGGTGCAGGGCCCGCCGCGAAGTGCCCGAGACCCCAATGCACTTGCTATCAGCATGTCCAGCATATGCGGTCTCGGCCTATATCCATCGACATAACACGGCCCTAAGAGTGCTATATTACCATCTACGGCACTCTGACGGTATTGACGAGACACCAGTGTTGCCCTACGCTCCGGGGGATATTGTTTCCGTTGTGGAGAACGAGAAGTGCCGAATTTATTGGAACTATTCGTTCCCCACCCTCAGGCTCATACAAGCTAATAAGCCTGATGTAGTCCTTCTCGACCACAGAGCAAAACGATATTTGTCGTGGAGTTTTTAACTCCTGTATCCTCAGTCTCATGTATCAAAGAACATTTTTTGATTACTGATTTTGGGATTGGCAAGGGTAAATTCCGACTTCCTCTCGTGTGGTAACATTTGTCATTATTTACTGCTGAGTTGGAGTATTTTTTGTGAATTAGGCAAGCGGTTTCTAAAATGAATAAACAAGGTACAGTAAGAATTTTCTTTCTGATGAAAAGTGGTTTGCAGTGGTCTTGTGATTTTGCCCTACAGATGTATCTGACGGCCCTTTTTTGTAGAACGAATACTGAATTTAGTAGTTGTTGACTACAAAAGCCCCAAAAGGCAATTCCATATCTCAAGTGGGACTCTACCCAGGAAAAATACACAGTTCCGGCTGAGGATTGATTGAGTTCGTTAGAAACAATTCGAACTGTATAGCAGTCAGATGCTATTTTTTGCATAAATTGCGATGTATATCCATGGTGTTTTACTAACTGCTTCCTGCCTGTTAGATAACTGTAAATCCAGTTATATGACAATCCTCTGAAGCCATAGCACTGAAGTTTAAATGATAACCTTATATTAGATATACGCTGAGTGTAGCGACCTTCGGTTTTCCATATCAAGCCAACAAATTTCTGACAGCTTTGATGAGATTCTGTTCCTTCTACGTACCCCATGAATAAGGCGAATGCAGGAGTTTTGAATCTTTTGGAGTCTTTTCTCATTCCTAATTGTGAGGCTTGGTAGATTTATTCTTGTGTTTTCAGGGAGGAATTTTCGATTTCCGTAAATCAGCTTGAGTGAGAGGTGAGCTTTCTGGATTAGTTCATTCACACAGGAATCAAATCGGAGATCACTGTCTTCAGTCACCCCAAGATTTTTTGCTTCCTTCACAATTTCCAGTCCATTGAAGACTATACTAATATTGAGTTGTTGTTTTACAAAACCTTTGTGTTTTTTTGGACCAAATATTAGGATTTTCGACTCAGATGTGTTATTCATTGAGCACATTTTTTCAGCAAGGGATGAGAATGTCTCGAAATCATGACTAATCCGCCTATTAGCGTCATCTACCCTGTGTGGTTCAAAAGAATAATAGATTTCGGTGTCATCTGCACAGAGATGTACACTGCAATACTGGAGGCATTCCACTAAATGACTGGTGTAAATCGTAAATAGGAGAGGGCCAAGAATTGATCCCTGTGGAACACCTGTTTTTAAATTCACCTCATCTTTTGAACAGCTCACGTGTACCTTTTCTTCATATGAAGTATTTTCTTTTGGTTATTTTTACTTACGTTTTGGTTGTTCAAAATGGACGGCAACCAAAGGACTCAAGTAACCTTCTTGATTTTTGAATGGGAAATATTGTGACATGAATCCTTTATGTGGTATGTATCGTATCGGGCCAATATTTTCTTTATCAGCTGGATTTTCTCCTTCACAGGTAACCCAGACCATTTCGTGCTGAAACAGAAAATGTTTTCAAAATATTCGATTCTATACAGTGCATTTCTTTAATGTCCCCTCCTTTTATTTTTCGAACGGGTCAGCTCAAAAAATTGAAATTTGTGATAATGAAATTAATGCATGAATACTTTATTTTGAAGTGAAATTGACAGATGAAATTTTCACAATGGCGCCTGGGCGTCATCTGGGAAAAAAATTGAATGGAAAGAGGGATCTTTTGACACGTCTTTTTGAAGCTCCTGACAAATGCTTCACAGCCCAAGAATATAATGTCAATATCTTGAACTACTACAAAATGGCGGAACATTCAATAATTGCCTAAATACATTGACATTTAACTACATAATATGAGGTAATAAGCTTGAGGTCAGTTCAGAAGATGCTCGAAATGGTTGCCTTGAATTCCTTGACATATGAGCAGCCTATCCGATATTTCACGCCGAACATACCATTAAGAGAGTCATAGTTACGACCGCACCGGGGGGCCTGGGGGGCCGGATAGGCCCCCCAGACGCACCCTGGCGTTGGATGCGATCGGGTGTGGAGGGTCACATCTAGCTTGAAACCGGCCAACGCCTGTTACCCGCAGGTGCGGGATTGGGTGGTTGACCGATAACTTTACTGGGTGAGTGCCGTGTGGTCTGCACCGGGGGACTGTCAAACACCCATAAGAGAGAGACAGTGATCCCCCGCCACTCACCCCCTACCTACAAATATTCATTATTCTCTGCCGTATATCCAATATTGAAGCAGGTTCAGCTTCGTACACCTTTTCCTTCAAACAGCCACATGAAAAAGTCCAGAGGTGTCAAATCTGGCGAACGGGCCATTCTGTAGGACCTCGACGGCCAATCCAACGACCGGGAAAAGTAGTATCCAAATAGTTTTTTACTTCTCTGTATTAATGTGGTGGTGCTCCATCTTGTTTGGAATATAATGTCCATATCGAATTCATTGGGATTCGCTTCTACGATTTCAGTGATGAGAGGGTCATCAGTAGTTTCCAGCATATTCAAATAGATAGATAGATATATTTATTCGTGTATACGATAAAAACATGTCTTCATTTGTCATTAAACACAAAACAAAATGATATAAAAAAAAACAAAAAAATATTTATGAAAAAAAATAAATAAAAAATCAATACTCACACACACATGCACTTCCATGAAGCAAAAATTCTTCCACAGAATAGAAACAATGATAAACTGAATATTTTTGGAACATAGCAAAGTACGCTATTTTTAAATAATCAAAGGACAGCTGATATTTCACTTGACGCAACGCATAAGAAGCTTTGGCCAGACGTTTTGCTAGATCCTGAATGTGAAATGAAAAATTTAGTTGAGAGTCTATATGAAGGCCCAAGAAGGCCCAACTCTATCCTCAGATTTTTCCGCATGGTTCAAACTGAGATGCTGCGGTTTACTTTCATTTAAGAAAAGGAAATTACATCGAAACCAAACTTTAGCATTCTGTTCTGAACAATTAAGGGTCTGTAAAGCACTGCTTTTATTTAAATTTTTCACAACGAGTGTGGAGTCATCTGCATAAAAAATAGAAGACACATCAGAGTTAATACTCATACATAAATCATTGAAATATATAATAAATAGCAAGGGTCCTAAAACGGAGCCCTGTGGGACACCAAACATAACTGGGTACTCAGCAGATCTCCGACCGGAGACACTCACAAAATACTTTCGTTCCTCCAAATATGACGAAAAAAAACTTCAAAGCCACGCCTCTAACCCCATATCTTTCCAATTTTAATAGCAAGAAATCATGTCGTATCATATCAAATGCCCTTGACAGGTCGTAAAACGTCGCCTCACAAAACTGACGACTCTCAAAGACACCACAACAACTTCATAAAATTCACATAGAGCTAATACAGTAGACCGGTTAGGTCTATAGCCAAATTGCGCATTATACAGTAGCCTATTTGACTTGAAAAATTGGAGTAACCTTTTCTTAAGAATTAGTTCAAATATTTTACCAATCAGCGGAATGATATAAATTGGTCGATAATTATCAGGAAGGTTAATATCACCCTTTTTATGCAAAGAGGTCCTACAAAATGGTTTCCTAATATTCCTCACCCAACCGCAGATTTTTTTTTTGGTATTGGTTATGTGTTTCCCGGAAAACGTGAGGGTTGGTGTCATTCCAATAACGTCAATTTTGTCTGTGAATATTGCCGGTTAAAAAAAATGTACATTCGTCACTAAAACAAATATTGTGGAGATAGATACGATGCCTTTCAATGGTTTCCGTCATGATTTCGCAGAATTCTGTTCTTCGATCAGGGTCATCTTCGGTTAATTGGTGTACCATTTTAATTTTCTATGGATGATACCTATTCCTCTTCAGAAGTCTCCACACAGTGGAAGGAGACACCTCACAAATATTCGCGACGGAATAAGTAGACTGTTCAGGATTTACTACCATCTCACCAATTATTTGCACTTGCTGTTCTTCCGGAATGGACGGATGACCTGGGGGCTTTTTGTTATGTAAACTAGCGGTAGTTGTGAATTTGGATACAAGTCTCCTCAAACCTAACAAACCTTATCGGGTTGTTAGAATTACCATATGGCAGATAAAAAGGAATATTTCAAGAAATATCGATATTAATGTGTTTGTCTTCAGGAAATTATTAAATGTTCCGCCATTTTGTAGTAGGTGAAGATATTGACTTCATATTCTAGGGTTATGAAGTATTCATCAGGAGCTTCGAAATGATGTGTCACAAGACTCCCTTTTACATTCAATTTTCTTCCCAGATGACGCCCAGTCACCATCTTGGAAGTTTCATCTGTGAATTTCACTTCAAAATGAAGTATTCATGCAATAATTTTCTTATCCCAAATGTCAATTTATTCAGTGGATCCATTGAAAAAATAAAAGGAGAGGTGACATTGAACAAATACACTGTATACAGGGTAATTCAAATTCGACCTCCACCATTGGGATCCCCTAAACTACGGGAGATACATCGAAGCTTATATTGGGGCAAAGTTGCTTAACAAAATACTGTTTTGAAACTTGGAAAAACTGAAATTCGGAATTTTCATATTAATATTTTTTCCATTGCTCTGAGCGTTTTCTACAATGAACTTCTGATAAGAAAACCTTTTATGATTATCTGAAACATATTCACAACAAAAATATATTATATGTGTTTCGATGAGCAGAAAAAAAATGGAGGCAAACGAACGAAACGAACACTATAATTATAATGAAAATTGGAATGAAGTAAGTAATTTATACACACAAAAAAAAAATTGTGCAATAAATGTTCGAATTGGAGTCCTTCCATTTCGGGACAAATAATAGAACAATAAGATGGTCTGCAAGATCACCAGATCTTACTATTTTGGACAATTTTTTATGGGGGACATTGAAAAATAGGATTTACGCTGGCAGAGAGATAGAAAATGTGAAAACTCGAGATTGATGATTACAGACGATTCTACAACAATTATAGACCATATATTTCTTAGAAAACAGAAAATAGCTGAAAACATAAAAGTATTTCCCGCCGTTATTAAAACAAACATAACCGATCACTTCTCTACAACCTTAACAATGTCAACAAACACTCATGATACTAACCAAAAAGTTGAGTCGCTCAACGATCCAGAATTTTGGAACAAAACTGATAATAAGAAACTGAAAAACCTTCTGAATAATGAAAACTGGCCTTATGTTTTGAATAGCCATGTAGTCCAGCTATCCTATGGTAATTTTATTAACAAATTAAAAGAACACATAAACAACTGCACTTCTAAAACAAAATGAGTATGAAAAAATCATATAAAATAAAACCCTGGATCACACAGGGGTTAATAAAATCCATAAAACATAGAGACACACTCAAATCAAAATTGAACAAAAATTCCAGACACGTCTTGAAAAACGAATTTAAGCAGTACCGAAACGAATTGAATAAGTTGATAAGACTAACTAAAAATGAATTTTATAAGAATAAGCTAACTGAAAACAGTGGTAACTATAAGAGAACATGGGAAATAATAAATGAAGTAAGTAATAAACCGAGTAAACAAAAAAACATAGGTGATATAAAAAAAATGACAAATTACTAACAAACAACAAGGACAAATCAGAAGCTTTCAATGAATATTTTACGAATATTGGTTTAGAAATGTCTGAAAAAATCGATAAAACATCAACTTCACCACCGGGCTTTCTGAAAGACAAATCTGTTGGCACAACAATTTACCTTACACCAACAAACGAAAATGAAATCACAACAGATATCTCTAAATTGAAAAACAATTGTGCTCCTGGACCAGACGGACTAAAAACACAATGCATAAAGCAATACCATCGCTACTTATTAAAACCATTAGTTCATATAATCAACTTGATATTTGAGGGAGGCACACTACCAACACAAATGAAAGAATCCATAGTGAGCCCCGTTTTTAAATCTGGAGATGAAACAGAGTTAGGTAACTATCGACCAATATCCGTGATAAACAATTTTGCCAAAATATTTGAGCATATTTTAAAGAATCGACTGGTTGAATTTTTTGAGAGAAATAAAGTTATAACTGATTATAACTGACTTGGCCAAAGCCTTTAATAGTTTCACGTAATAAGCTTCTTGATAAACTATATGACTATGGTATTCGTGGACCCGCCTTTGATGTTCTGAAGAATTATTTGTTCCACAGAACTCAATGTGTGAAAGTGGGTAAAGAAAAGAGTGTGAATCGTGATGTTTCAATGGTAGTTCCACAGGGAACGGTCTTGGGCCCTATACTCTTTTTGATATATATATAACAAAGTTTATGACTTTTTCTCTTTTGAGCAGTCATCAGCCAGATAATCAGAAACCAAGCATCCACGTGTCAAATTGTGACAAAGTACTCTGTAAATGTCCAACCATAGAAAAAGTATCCCAATTCAAATATCTCGGTTTATTCTTGGATCAGCATCTGAGATGGGATGTACATGCTTCATTTGTTGTGAAAAGACTTAGACAACTTACTCACAAAATATATAGCCTGAGATTTATTCTGTCAAGATCAAATCTGATGCTGATATATAAATCTCTAGCAGAATCAATCATAAGATACTGCATAGCAGCATGGGGCGGAATGTTAACTAATATATTGGGCAACGTACAAGTCACTAAAAATAAAATTATTAAAATAATATTCAAGAAACATAGACGATTCGTTACAAAGCAGTTGTACAATGATACCAAATTATTGAATATCAGAAGTTTATATGCTTATCACTGCCTCATCTGGATGTATTCCAAACTGTCTTCGTTCAGCATCAATAAGACAAAAAACACAAGAAATTTTGAGAATCAAAATATTAATATACCTCTATTCAGAAAAAGCCATACCCAAAGAACACTTTTCTACTTTGGACCCAAGCTATATAATGCAATACCTCTAGATATAAAGCAAACACGAATTTTTAGAAATTACAAAATGCTCGTTAAGAAATTTATTGAAAGAAATAGTTCTTTAGTGATATACTTATTGCAAAACATATAAATACTGGTCTTCCCTTCAGTTTTTCGAAACAAATAACTACTAACGAAATATCCAATCTCCAATAATATATGTCAACCTGTAGACACGAATCATCAATTGTTTAAATACTAACACAAATGTATTGTTGTGATCTGTCGAAAAACTTATATAAAAACTAATATGTATACCATGACGAAGTAGGAATAGAGCACAAAACAAGCCATACTGCGCTTAGGTGACTATTTCTGCTTTGAAAAGGTAATATTGTATTGAAATTGTGATGTAAATGTTTTTGAAGATGAATGAATCTGAAATCTGAAAATAAGTGTATCGAGTTCAATAAATAATATTAAAAACCGGGTTTAAGAATGTCTCGAAATGGAAGGACTCCAATTCGAACATTTATTGCGCCAATAATTTTTTTGGGTAGCTATTAAATTACTTCATTTCAATTTTCATTACAATTATAGTGTTCGTTTACGATGTTATTATTGCTATCATTTCTTTTTCTGCTCATTTAAACACATATAATATATTTCTGATGTAGATATGTTTCAAACAATCATAAAAGGTTTTCTTATTCGAAGTTCATTGTAGAAAACGCTCAGACCAATGAAAAAATATGAATAGGTACCTAAAAATGAAAAAAACTCTCGAAAAACTCTACGATACATAGCGAGACGTGAAAGTTGCTATTATGTTTTAATTCAACTCAGTCAACCAATTTCCAGGGCCATAATTTGAAAGGGAATAATTTCCACAATTATAATCGAATATTACTGAAACATCCCGAAATATAGAATTAAATTTAATTTTTCAGTATGAAGTGAACGTCTCCGATCCAAAAACTACAACAAAAAATACAGGTCCATATTTGAAAATTCAAAGATGGGGGTGGCCCAAGTCAGATGACATCCTGTATAAAAGATTCATGGATATATTCTGAGAGCCCACATCAAGTAACAATAGCAAAATGTGGACAGATTTTCAATATGTCTGCGAATAAAGAAGATATAGGCAAAAAATAATTTGGGATTTTTTGGTTTTTCTTGTATATCTCCAGAACCAAAAGAGCTATATTCGATTTCTTGACATCATTGAATAGGTCTTTAAAATACACAACTTTGCCACAATTCAACTGACACTCTATCTCTTATCGTTTACGAGATCCCCATGTACAGAAACGAATTGGAATAGCCGTGTATATTCAAGAGAAAAGCTCATGATTTCATTCTTGGTTTTTAAAACGCACCGTAGGCAGCCAACTGTTTGTCCAAGATACCGAATAATGTTCTATCCGGCTCTTGTCTTTCCGGAAATAATTCAAAATAAATTTGTGTAGTTTTCGAACTATTCCTATCAAATTTATAATAAAGTTTCAACATATCTCGTTTTTCTTCATTCGAGAATGGGGACATTTCGACTGAAGTATTTGTGCAAACCTACGATGTTTCTGATAATTAGTATTCATTAAATAAAATTTTTCGATGGAGTCATGAGCATCTCAGATGAAGTTGTTTTTTTTCAATACCTGTAGTTTCACAAGAGAAAATTATAACAAATTATACATCAATGAAAACAGAATGAGGAGCACTATTTCTCTGTATTAAAAAAACAATATGGCGCCCATAATAGAAAAAAAAGTTTATGATGGTTGCCAGAAGACGAAACGTCAGATAGTTAATCTGGAATGAAAACGTGTAGCTGAAAACATGTAGCTGAAAACGTGTAGCTGAAAACATGTAGCTGAAAACGAGTTTTTGGTTTCGATCTATGTTGTCAAATAACGCTAGAAAAAAATTGAAACGAAAATTCCGATTTTCAGTTTTTTCCTGATATTTTCGGAAATATCTGGAATTTTACAAGTTTCAAAATAGTATTTTGTCAAATATAAAAAATACAACTTTGCACTAATTTAAGCTTCGACGTGTGTCCTGCAGTTTAGGATATCCCAATGGTGGGGGTCGAATTTGAATTACCCTGCCTAAATGCATTTGGAAAAATCATACCTGATGTATATTTTGAGCTTCCTCGATATCTCTTCGGAGATATTCATTCATTTGATCCGATCCAGGAAGATTAGAGGTATTGTAATATTCAGGGTACCAATTGTATATCTGCAAGAAAAAAAATAATTTCATCATTTTCTATCACAAGATAAAACTCTATACGAGTAGAGCAATCATTTATTGAGTTTTGAAAATCTAGAAATGAAAATCCTTAATCAGTTGATGCCTGTGGATTATTTATGTATTTACGGACAATTTTAGTGAAAGTGAAATACGTGGGAGTTCAATAAAATGTTTCGAATGTATGCTTGTCTCACTAATGCCTAACGCTAGTTACACACACATCGATTTTGGACGGTCAGTATAAAATCGGCCGATATTTTAGTGGTAGCGGGTGCTTGCACACTCACCGGATTTTTATCGGTCAAACAATCAGTTGCTTTGTTGTCGTAATTAACACGCACTACCAAAACGAAGTAAATGCGTAGTAACTACAATTTCACCGAGCATTCGAGACTGGAATGGTCGGTAAAAAACCGATGAGTATGCAAGAGTGTATTTAGTCATGTATGCCACTACTTCCCGGTACTGCCGGCGATACAGTGACAGTGGACGGCTGCTCACCGGTATTTTACCGGCGACGATCACCGGTCGGTGTGTGTGCCAGGTCCCGTTCCCACATGTGGTTCACTATTGGAATTTGGACGACCGGTACAAAGTCGGCCATTCAAAATCGGTGTGTGTGCAACTAGCGTAACGCTAGTTACACACACACCGATTTTGGACGGTCAGTATAAAATCGGCCGATATTTTATTGGTAGCGGGTGCTTGCACACTCACCACTATGGCACTACTTCCCGGTACTGCCGGCGATACAGTGGCAGTGAACTGCTGCTCACCGGTATTTTACCGGCGACGATCACCGGAATTTGGACGACTGGTACAAAGTTCGCGGGCCAAAATCGATTACACACACACTAGCGTTACGCGTTATACTGGCCGTCCAAAATCGGTGTGTGTGTGTGCAACTAGCGTAAGGTTGTCTCAATCTCGCGATAGGTCACATGACGATCTTGCAATATCAGTTCGCGCTCAGCATCAATAGTTTTCGGAACAACTGATTTTGGACAACCTTCATGGAATTCGTGCACTACGACCACGATTGAATTCACTATACCATTGATGAACACTGGTCCTTGATGGAGCTTCATCGTCAAAAATTGAATTAAGTTCCTCCATGCACTGTTGCTGAGTTAATCAACGTCGAAAAAATAATCGCACGAAAATGTTCACGATGTAATTACATTTTTGGGCCGAGAAGAATCTTTTAAGTTACTGTAAACAAAACAAATAGCGCGCGTATGTCAGAACGTTCTTAGTACGGATGAGCTCAAAAATATCCAACTTTACGATGGAGCCAGATTGCAACACTAGGGTTGTCAAATTCCGAAACATAAAAGGCAAGCTATCGTATAGTTTCAGGTCGTCTGTAAGTAGTAGGCTGCCAAGTAGTAGAGGTTGCCAAGACATTATCAAAAATAAAAAATAAAAGAGGGTAACTTGTGGTACCTCAGATGAAACTACGTACTGAGCTGATTTGACAGATTCATGGTCGACGAATTGAAGTCGGCCACTCGTACTGGTGAGACGTTTGGATGCAGTTCCAAACTACGACTGCCTTCAAACCCGAATGGAGATAGTAACACTGAAAGCCTCAACCAATTCATCAGGTCATGTCAAGTTTCCACTGTTTTTTTATCAAATCTACGCTAAAAAACATGCGAAACAGCCCCTGCAATGTAGTCAAAATTAAAATTAATCCATGAACAACGATCAGCGATCAATAAAATAGCACTCAAGCATAAGTTTTTCAACTATCAAATGACCAGTACTGATAGTATCGCCCAATTATCAGTAAAATTTAGTCAATGTCACAAGCTCTTCGTGACGCAAAAGAAGAAGTTGAAGATATTGATAGAATCGCTAAAGTTCTCGGTAGCTTACCTGCTAAATATGGACCATTTATCGCAGCCAGGGATTCATTTGAAGAAAACAAGCAGACATTCGACAATCTCGCCGCAAGATTACTTAAAGAAGAGTCACGTCTGACCCAAAGTGATGAAATGTCTTCTGCATTTACTGCCTCCAACATAAATAAAACCGGTTCAAATTCTCAAGCAAGAATTAATTCTGTAGGAAAGCCTCAATTCAGAAAGAAATCAATACCATTTTGTTGCTATTGTCGAAAGAAAGGTCATATAAAGGCGGAATGTCGAAAACGGTTGTCAAAAATAAGCAGAATTGAGAAGAAAAGACAAGAGCAGAAATTCCAAGCGTTCAGTGCAGAAGAAAGGAATATATGCATTGAAGGTTATGAAGATGTTTGGCTTGCAGACAGCGCAGCTTCTAAACATATGACTTTTCATCGTGAATGGTTTATGGATCTTCAATATCTATCCCATCCAAAGTCCATTTAAATTGCCGATAACTCGGTTGTATTTGCTGAAGGCGTGGGTTCCATTGAAGTTTATGCAGTCTTAAATGGTCGTCGAGAACTGCGAAAACTAGAAAATACTCTATATGTTCCGAAACTTGGCAAGAATTTATTTTAAGTGGGAGCAGTGACAGATAAAAACTTCGAAGTGGTGTTTGACAATAAAAGTATCAAGGTTTTTTGTGGAGAAACTTTGGCTGCCTTTGGTGTAAAACGAGCAAACCTTTGTTATGAAATGATTTTTGAAAAACCAACACTTGAACAAGTCAACGTTGCTGAAACAAATCAAGTTCAGTTATGGCACGAACGTATGGGTCATGTTAATTTCAAAACGTTGAAAGAAATGGCCGACCGTGGACTTATTCCAGATTTGAAAATGAAAAGAACTGAAGATCTGTTTTGCGAATCATGTCAGTATGGTAAACAGGAAAGAAATCCATTCAAAGAGAATCCACATCAACGCCGTTATAATCCAGGTGAATACATTCATTCTGATGTATGCGGAAAAATGTCTTCAACTTCAGTTGGTGGAGCCGAATATTTCCTTTTATTCAAGGATGATTGCACCTCGTATCATAAAGTATATTTCATCAAACACAAATCGGATGTATTTTCAAAGTTTGTGGAGTTCGAGACACTAGTTAAACGGCAGACTGGTAATGATATCAAAATATTTCGAACCGACAATGGTGCAGAATATGTTAATCATCAATTCCATGAGTACTTCAAGAAAACAGGCATTATTCATGAAACCAGTGCAGCGTATGCACCAGAACAAAATGGTAAAGCCGAAAGAGATCTCAGAACTATTGTCAATAGTGCTCGAGCTATGCTGAACAAGACATGACAGCGGTATATATTCTCAATAAAAAACCATGTAAACCAGATGAAGACCGAACTTTGAAAAATGGACAGGCAAACAGTTCAAACTGAATCACTTGAAGAAATTTGGCAGTGAAGCCTTCTCTCATGTACCGAAACAGTTGAGAACTAAATTAGAGAATAATTGGAAGAAATTGATTTTGTTGGTTATGAAGGTACCAGTTCAAACTATCGTCTATTTGACCCAGTAACAAAGAAAATATCAGTGGCGCGAAACGTGATTATCAACGAAAATATTCCCAAAAATTCGTCCATGATTGGTGCTGATAAATATTTTTCGCATAATTTTTATTGTACGCCTTCAATTCCTGAAATACCAGAAATTACTCAGTCGGATTCTGCGTCTGAACCAGTACAGAACTTGATCCAACAAGAAACCGAAATGAGTATCCAAGAAACACATTCAAGGGATAATCAGATTGAAAGACAACTTCGTGATCGATGTGAAATAAATCGACCATACCGTTATGAAGATTTCGAAATTGCCTGTGTAGCAATTATAGAACCTCAAACATATGGAGAAGTGGTAACAAGCAATGAAAAAGATCGCTGGGAGACAGCAATGATTGAAGAAATGGAGTGCTTGAAGAAAAATAACACTTGAGATTTAGTTTCATTACCCAATAATAGAAAACCAATAGGATGTAAGTGGGTTTTCAAAGTGAAATGCAAGCCCGATGGAACTACTGTACGTTATAAGGCGAGACTGTGTGCAAAATGGTACTCTCAAGTAGCTGGCATTGATTTCTCGGAAACTTTTTCACCAGTCGTTCGATATGACTCCTCAAAAATACTTCTGACCATATCAGCTACACTTGACATGAAAATTCGACAATTTGACATCAAAAGTGCTTTTCTGAATGGAGATTTAGATGAAGAAATTTTTATGATTCAACCAGAAGGTTTCCAATCGGAAGATAATTCCTTAGTGTGTAAACTGAACAAGAGTCTATATGGTCTGAAACTCAAAATTTGTAACGTGTTTGACATCATTTCATTTCAAACACTTAGAAGCAGACAGATGTGTATTTCAACGTGAAATCAATGGTTTCAAAATGTTTCTTGCTTTATATGTTGATGACGGACTTGTCATGTGTACGTCATTGAATGTTATCAACATAATTTTAGAAAAATTAGCTTCGTGTTTTGAAATTACTACGAGTAATGCTGAATACTTTGTTGGTATAGAAATAAGTCGGAATAGAAGCAAAAATCAAATATTCATCAGTCAACAAGGATACGTACAGCGATGTTTAGAAAAATTTCAAATGTCAGAGTGTAAATCGAATACAATACCAGCCGATCCAAATGTTATTCTGAATGCAGCTCAAAGCCCCCAAAATGAGAAAGAAAAAGAATATATGAAAAATATTCCATACAGAGAAGCTATAGGATGTCTCATGTTTCTAGCGGTTGTCACTCGTCCAGATAGCAGAGCAGACTTAGCAGATATTTGGAAAATCCAGGAAAGCAGCACTGGAAAGCAGTCAAACGTATTTTCAGATACCTAAAGGGTACTAAAAGTTATGGAATTCTATACAATGGGAGCAACGAATGTTTAAAAGCTTATTCAGATGCAGATTATGCAGGACACATGGATACTAGATATTCAACAACTGGCTATGTTACTTTATTATCAGGTTGTCCAGTTACATGGACATCTCAACGACAAAAGTGTGTTGCGAAATCCACGACAGAATCTGAATATATTGCAGCTTCGGATGCCGCACAAGAAATAATATGGTTGAGAAGGTTCCTTCAAGAAATTGATGTTGACGTTTCAAATCCAAAGTGCTATAAACTTGGTGATCAATAATGATCATCACAAACGAACAAAACACATAGATGTCAAGTATCATTACATAAGACATCATGTTCAAGAAAAAAATATCACTGTTGTTTACACCCAATCAGAAAATCAGTTAGCAGATATTTTAACCAAACCCTTACCACGAGAAAAATTTTCAAGAAATCGACAAGGTCTGTGGGTAACGTCTCCGAAGTGAACAAAGAGTGGGAGTGTTGAAGTAATCCATGTTCACTTCATTTTGATTGATCTTGTTTTTATGATTCCTTGGAAATTGATGTTGATTGAGTTAGTTAATATTATTGTTAATACATAAAATGTATCGTTTGTATATTCATGATTAAAACCTGGTTCAGTAGAGTTAACAGTTAGATTTCCTACAAATTACAACAGATTCATATTCGACGAATTGAAGCCGGCCACTCGTACTGGTGAGACGTTTGGATGCAGTTCCAAACTACGACTGCCTTCAAACCCGAATGGAGATAGTAACACTGGAAGCCTCAACCAATTCATCAGGTCATGTCAAGTTTCAACTGATTTTTTATCAAATCTACGCTAAAAATATCGTTTTCACCATCAATATTCACCTTGTTGAGTTTGAGAAATATACATGGGCCACCCTTCTCGTCTTCGAATCCAAACCCAGCTTCTGACAGACACGGATGCCATTTTGAAGTAACCCTCACTTCACAAACTTTTCCGGGAGGAGGACTCTGATGCTTTGCACATTGTATCACATTGGGAGCTGCAGTAGTAGTATCATCCCGTTCATAAGCTGAAAATTAAAATGAATTAATAACACAGGTCGACAGTGTTTTTGTCACATGAACTTTGTGATGTGTTTTATTTATGTTGGCCTACCCCCATTATAAATATATAATAATTTTGTTTCAATCACATCCAGTTTTTTGTGACAGCTATATATTCATTTCTGACCTAATATACGTCATTCAGGTGGCCGTATAGCTATCGCATCAGCTAATATACAGTTTATTTTCGTTAGTTACATCGCAAATATACAACGAAAGTGTTCTATTAACCCTGACAGTTTTGTTATGTGTTTGAAGAATCAGTTTTTACATTCTAGCGTCGAAATTTCACCTCATTAATTGAACAGTGCTTTTGAGAATATGTTGGATTTACTGTGCAGCATCAAGATACATTCTGGGTCCCAGATAAATGTTGTGTAACGTGTGTTAGAGTCCTATCAGGTTGAGCTTTTATATGAGCAAAACAAAAATGAAAAGCATTACAACGAAGTCCAAACATACTATTCAGTATCCAAACTTGTCTTCGGCCAACAAACTCATCCTGCATAGTGCTGAACTGCTTGTTCCGAAGCCTCCAAATCGACCAGAAAGTCGGGATTCCAGTCCGGCAGAACTTCGCATGAGAAATATTAAGATAGTGACCCAAGTTATGAACCGCAAACTTCAAAAGAACCGCACTTATTGACACAAAATGATTTAAACCATTTAGTACGTGATTTGAATTTTTCTAAATTAAAGGACTTGAATTTACTTTCTCCTGATACAAAAGTTTCTTATTTTCGACATTGTGACTATGAAATATATCCTTGTATTTTTGCAAATATTTTTTGAATATACACAATTTTAAGACAATGATAAAAATACAATAAATACAACAATAAAAATTAATTGGCGCTCCGGGGCGACTTCATTGATTCCAGTGGCGCATTTGCTTTTTCAGCTGCAGGAAAACCCGGAAAAACCTGCAGCACCACATCATCTGAAGATCTTGATCCAACAATGTCTTCTCTCTCATAAAACAAAATGTAGGGTGTCTCCAGAGGCTCCAATAAATTCAATGCATCGCCAGAACACTTCGTGACACGACTGTCGTCAAACTTAAACCAGTCCGTTTCTTTTTTGACCAAGGCGTAATAATGACCACATTCAACGCCAGAACCACAGTGAACAATGACTGCATGAATATTATAACAGTGGTCTGCTAGGTTGAAATGTTCATCTATTTCGAACCAAAGAGTTTCTTGCTTCCGTTAGAGGTTGAGTCTTGTTTGAAAATCATCAGTGTTATTATTAGATTGACTGGTGCCTCAGCTATACTTGTTTCCTTATAACAGTCAGTTAGTTTGGCGCATGTTTGACAATACAGTCGATCATCACCTGTTAAAAATTCCATTTTCAGATGATTTAACAATAAGCTTTGCACGGACTGGTAATTAAAACTATGAAATAAAACCTTACTTTCCTAAAGTCCTTTGTAATAATATTTATGTTGTGATGAATTTATTCAATTTTGAAAATGTTCCAAGTCACTGGCGACTGTTCATTGACTCTTCAAAAACTAGTTTGAAAGCAGTTGCTGCATAACAGAAATGAACTCCCTTCAGTACCGGTTGCTCATGGTTCTGATATGAAAGAGACTTACGAAAATATAAGATTTCTTCTTGAAAAAATTGAATACAGTGAACACGCTTGGAAAATTTGTGGCGATTTGAAAGTTATTTATTTGCTTGGACTACATGTTGATTACACAGAATTTTGCTGTTTTATTTGCGAATGGGACAGCAGAGAAAGAAAAAGTCACTGATGAAATAAAATGTGGCTCAAGCGTGAGTCACTTACTCCAGGCCGTCAAAATGTTAAGAATAAGGCTTTAGTGAACCCTGATGACATACTTTTACCACCTTTGCACTCGGTCTGATGAAAAAATTTGTAAAAGCTATGCGCAAAAATGTCAGTAGAATTTTATATCCTAAAGAGGAATTCCCCAAACTCAACGACGCGAAAATTGAAGGGAGAATATTTGTAGGCTAACAAATACGTTAACTAATGAAGGATAAGAGCTCTGAAGAAGAACTAAATGACCAGGAAAAAATTTCCTGGAAATGTTTTGTGAGTGTTGTCCAAAATTTCCTAGGAAATCATAAAGCAGAAAACACAAAGACTCAATAGAGGAACTAATGATGTCAGATAAAGCTTTGGGGTGTAAGGTATCCTAAAAAATACGTATGTTTGACTCTCATCTAGATTTGGTTGCTGTGAGTGACGAAAAAGGGAAGAGATTCCATTAGGATATTTACTTAATAGAGAAGCGTTACCAATGGAAATGGAGCCCAGGAATGCTAGCAGATCATTGTTGGAAACTCAGGAGGGACCTACCAGAAGACGGATATACAAGAAAATTATAAATATTTATTGTACATTAAGTAATAATTTCTCTGAATATAGTTGATTTTTGTAATTCTCACCAAAATATATGCTTTGATCTCAAGACAAAAACCTGTTGTGTCAATTTTTTTTCATTGATACAATATTGGTTAGTGACCCTAGTAGATTCAAAGTTTGATATAAGTTCTTATGTGATAAAAAACAGTTACAATTTTGTTGACCAGTGTAATAGGTCTTTATTTCCAGAATTACTGACACGAGGCTGAAGAGTTGGTTGTATCAAAAGGTACAACCTCTGTTTATCATCTGAGGCCAAAATTAAAATATATAATTTAAAAAAAAAAACCAGATGAACAAAAAGAGAAATATATGGAAAATTTAATTACAAATTACATGTTGGAGAATGAATGTACCAAATATATAATTAAGACTATAGTAAATTAGACATAGATATAATTGTGCAAAAAAAATTGCAATATAACGATCTATTACCTAGCTTTATCAACGACTTTAGATGTGTGGATCAGTTTAATTGTCTCCTTGGTTTTCAATTTGTAGCTCGTCTACATTTCTAAATACAGTTTCGATGCGTAGTTAGAAAACACCCTGTATACTTCGGAATAAGAATTTCTATGTAATTAAGCTTTGAATCTGTATGGAAAATGAAATGAAATTAATAATATAATATCTAAAGAAGTTCCTCAAATCATACCTTCCAACCAGAGGCGGCTCGTTAGAGGAGGCAAGGGAGGCTTAGCCTCTCCATAAAATTTGAGGCTATTCATCGAAATAAATTTAAAGATATTGACAAATAATCATGATTATTTTTTTCGAAAAATGCTTGGGTATTTTTACTTTACCATCAATTTTTAATATAAATACATAATATGCCCGAAACGTACCACACTGTATCCTGCATCAACAGACCTCAAACGCACCGCCCATGAACGAATAACGAATAAATCATCAACCCGAAATAATAAATGCCATACGTTGATACGTTGCAAGGGATCTAAGCCTCCGACCGCTTTAAAAAACACAAGCTCCGCGAGACCGATCCAACCAGCGACATACGTCTCGATTTGTAATTTCAGTTGCAGAAATTATAGCGTCAGAGGAGGCTAGCCTCCAGTTGGTCTCCATTAATGTACGACTGCGTTTGTTTTTTATTTTTTTATTTTTTTATTCGGACGGGATGCCGTGACGGACCGGGACTGAAAAATATTTCGGTAAATCGTTTTAGCGTTTCTTGATAATATTTGTTATTTGTGTATAAAACAGGCAGTATTATATTATAGCAGTGCTTTTTGGTAATTTTTCTAATGTGTTTTTAAAGTGTTTTCTTCCAATTTCAAGGTGTTCACAGGTTTTCACTTTTCGGTAAGTTTTCTTTCCATTTACCATGGATAAGTAGGACGATATTGAAAAATCTTTATTTGATAATAATTAATTTTAGATACATTATTAAAACTCTGGGAAGGCCTCAACCAAATTTGATTTCAATTAAATCGTCAGATAATCGACAAAATCGAGGATTTAATATTAGTTGGTACGATAAATGCGATTGGTTAACCGGCTCCATTAAACGAGAAAGACTTTTTTGTTGGCCCTGTGTTTTATTTTCCGTACAAACCGAATACCAAACGTGGTCTAAAATAGGATACTCCGATTTAAAAAATTTACCTCGTTCTACAGAAAGACATTTTAAATCTAAGGAGCATATATTTTCGCCTTGTAAATTAAAATTGTTTAGCAAACAAAATATAGCAACAGCTTCAGATACAGCTCAAAAAGAGGCCATAATTTCTTTTAATGATCAGGTTAGGGAAAATCGGTCGAATTTAAAAAGACTTATCGATATTACGATTTGTTTGGGTTCCCAAGAAATAACTTTTCGCGGACACGATGAAACCGAAGATTCGATTATCCGCGGCAATTACAAGGGGCAAATATGATTCACAATTTGGCACTTTTTTAAACGGTAGCGTTTTTTCGGGCACCTCAAAAACCATCCAAAATGAGCTTATTATAGACAGTGTGGCATATATTATTAAGGAAAATATAAGCAAGGAGATTGAAAGTGTTTCTTTTTTGCATGGGAAAATGATGAAATGTGGTGGAACGTTTTATGGGTTTTCATGATGTTTCATCTGGGCGCACAGCTGATGATTAATATTTTAATTCGTACGTGTGACACCTATAATTTTAGGCAAAAGTTAATTGGGCAAACCCATGATGGGGCTGCGATCATGGCCGGCTATTTAAATGGTTTACAAACTAAAATGAAGTCCATAGCTCCTCATGCACTTTTTACGCATTGTCATGCCCATGCCCTAAATTTAGTATTAAGCAAAGTGTGCAACAACATAAAAGATTTTCGCGTTTATCTGGATTCTCGGCATTCTTTTCAAAATCCACCAAAAGGAGCCTTGTTTTGAATGAAATATGTGGTAGCCGAATGTCAACTTTTGCTCCTACGCGTTGAAATTCTACATCTATCTTTGATTTTATCCTAAACAGTGACGATTTTGAAACCGACGACTAAAGTTTTGGCGAGGCGAGAGGTTTCAGATATATTTTGAATGATCACAAGTTTTGTTCCCTGTTAGAAATATTTAAATTAATATTTGAACATACCTATGTTGTTTTTTCTATTCTTCAAAATAAATCAACAGATATTAATTACTTAAAACAAAGGTCAATCAATTTAACTGAAATTTTGATGAATTTTATGAATAACGATACATGTTTTAATATCAATTGATTTAACTCTCGAACTGCCGGCGCCGAAAAAAAGAAAAATCGATTTAGATTTACCCGATTTGAGACAAAATTATAAACATATTCATAATGAAATATTGGACACCTTTTTAATGCAAATCAAAGTTAGATTTGAAGATTTACTTAAATTAAACTACTTTGATTTGTTGTTGTTTGAAAAATTTCCGTCCTATACCAAAGACTTTCCCCAAAAACTTTATAACGACTTCATAGCTCAGTATCCATTTTTCGATATTATTCAACTGAAAAATGAATTCATCGTAATGTATAGCGACCCTCAAATGTTTCAAAATTGCAAGTCTCCCAACTAACAATTTCGTATTTTATGATAGTTGCGGAAACGTTTCGGAGAAACAAATTATGAAACTACATTTCTCCCAGAAATGTTATCAATGCGTTTATAAAACTGCTATAAATAGGAAATTGGCACCGTTTTATGAAACATTATAGTTATTATCAATATTTTGTAAGGCCTTTTACAAACACTACAAAACAGTTTTATAAACATTTTGGCAGTTACCATAAAATTCGTCTAACAGTCTTGAAAAGTAGTTTTGTAAAGACTTCCCTTATGCAACATATTTAAGCGATACCTATAAAATAATCAGAAGACAGTTTTATTAGAGTTTTTTAGTAGTTCCAAGTAGGCGTTATAAAATATAATACAGCCGAAAACGATAACAATA